GTGGACTGTAGTCATAGTGACTAACTGTTGTTTTCCCCTCCTTATCACTGTCTTTCCAGTAAATAGAATAGCCAAACCCTTTTTACAGAGGCTGAGTTCTTTGAGTTTGCTATTCCTAGTTACATGTTATTTGAATCATAGCCCTCTCCCACTGCTAGTTTCAGCTGAGAATGCAGAATACAAGATGAGTCTGAAGAAGAAGACACCTAGCCTTGGAGCAGCCAAGACAAAGGAGAAACGGAGGTATCCCTGGCGGACCAAGAGGCCTGAGGGGGCCCACTCCCATACTCTTCCCCTTTGTAGAGTTCATCTCTCTGGGCAGGGGTGAGGAACCTGAAAAACACTTCTGACCAAGGACATTTTCTTATCACTGCCTGGAAGAAGAGCTGAGAGGACACAAGAAAACTATGACTCATCCCATAATGAGAAGAAAACATGATGAGCGTTCCTCAAACTCTCCTGCCCCCTCAGCCCAATTCCCTTTAAAAACTCTCACCACTCCCCAGCTCGGGGAGACAGGCATTTTGGAAAAATGATTCTGTCTCCTTGGGTCTCGATACTCAATAACCCTTTGGCTTCCCCACTTCAATCTGCTGTGATCATTGCTTCGTGACAGAGAGTGAGGACCATGTTTTCCTACAATGGTTTAGCTTATCTAGTTAAAAAAAAAAAAAAATCTACTTTGAGCACTGTGCTTTTCTAAGAACTGTCTATATGTGATCCGATTGACAACAGTAGCTGGAAAGATTAGCTAGGAACTTTAGGGCCAGTGAGTTTACGTTCACGGGGGAGGGACAACTCAGAAAAGGGGGGTGAGAATGGCCGCACAACTTGAATGTCATTGGCGTCACTGAATTGTACATATAGAGACAGTCGAATTGGTGGATGTTTTGCTGTGTGTATTCTCAACAACAATAAAATAAAATTAAAATTAAAAAAAAAGGATAATACCAAAGGCAGGAGGAGGCGGGAGAGGAATACCTCAGATAAATGTCTGCTTCAATAAAAACAGCTCCAAAGTAGAACAACAACAAAAAAGAGCACTTTTATGAAACAACGAGAAAGAGTGAGGCATTCACTTGGTGTTCTCTATGAGAACAGTCCCTGTACTTTTACATGAAGCAGTACAACCGTGTCAGACCCTTGCTTCCACGGACTCTGAATGGAAACTCAGAGAGCGCTTACATCCACCTGGGTTTGTCACGTGGCCTCTTCCAGCCTCTAAATTTAACCTAATTGGCTTTTGATCTAAAACACTTCCTTGTGTGGAATACAAATATCCCCCTATGGAAAAACTTACATGAGCTTTGTATAAAGTGCTATGACGCACGGAGCCACTAACTGACAAAAGGAGTATTCAGCTCTTCATACCTCAACCCATCCTGGCATGGGTCCAACAGATGCCTGACAAACAAAATGGCCTAACAGCTGACCCGAGAGGTCTCAACTAGAAATGGTATACTTCTGAGAGGGCTATATGGGCAGATGGTGGACTCTTTGTGTTAACTGAGAAAATCTCAACCTTTACAATAGTGGACTTGCTGGCATTTATGAGGGGTGAGCCAATCCAACACCAAGCAGTGGGGCGGTGGGGACCACCACGGTCCTGTGGCAGTCATCAACGCCTGGTCTATAGATGGTTGAGCAACCATGACCCCATCAGGAGTACACTGCGAGGCTGTGGCCTTGAGAACTTCATATGGCATGTCCCTAACCAAGGGAGACTTAGGTAAATTAGCACAATATGCAAAATTGGTGGTTGTGAACTCAGCAATCAGAAAAGCCTGATGGAGGGACAGAAATTAAATATACACAGGTATACATATATACACATATATACATACATGCACATATATACATGCATGCACATATATACATATATGCACATATACATGTACACACATATACAAATATACACATGTATACATATATACACATGTATACATGTATGCACATATATACATATATACACATGTATATATATATATACACTATATACACATATATACATGTTGTTGTTGTTGTTGTTGTTGTTATTTGCCGTCAAGTCAGCCCCGACTCATAGCGACCCCTCCTTGGGTTTCCGAGGCAGTATTACTACGGAAATAGGATTGCCCAACCTTCCTTCCGAGGAGTGGCTGGTGGGTTTGAACCGCCAGCCTTCCGGTTAGCAGTCAAGTGCCTTAGGTACTATGCTACCAGAGCTCCTATATATACATGTATACACGTGGAAGGAAGGTTGGGCAATC